CAACGATGGTGCCTCCTTTCCCTGAAATATTAGGCCTTAATCAAGTCAGCATTTATCGAACAGATCAGCTCCAAATCACATACCGACGTCACACAGCCCGATAGCCTCGTAGGTGATAAGCTCGTTTGGCGCAAAGCAATCGTGGAGTTCGATAACCTGTAACGGTTAATCAGCAATATAGCTAGACCGAAATCTTTCACAACAAGCAACAAACTATTTGAAGCTCTAAAATCCCTCCAAGATACGCCATGCCTTTGTCTTTTATGAGGTATCGCTGAGACATTTGCAAACAATCTTAAATCCGCAAACCCTACAAACCTGCACATCGTTTGGAGAGAGGCCAGTCTTTTTGTACAGATCTGTAGAGATCTTCTTGATCATGTCAAAGCCGATCATCTTGATGTTACTGTTCTCCTTGAATACCGATGGCTGATCAGTTCCAAGCTCGAGACCTTCAAGCAGAAACCGATCAATTACCATAGCACGCATAATGAAGGATAGCGCCACTAACTGACCGACAATTTCCACTGCTTGCGGCTTTAGATGTGGATGCTGCTCGAGATATCGCTCAGAGCAAAGTACTGCTGCAGCAGAACCATCGGAAGTTGGACTAAAATAGAGATCTGATATTCTGATATAAGACAAAGCAATTATATGATGAATCGCACTTTGTGGATCGCTCTTTTATCCGCACTTTTGATAGGACAACAGACAGTAAACTATCCAATGATTCCACGATACCGGAGTAAAATCATATCTTTGGCTCATCCGAAAGGGTAACAAACGAGGTAGAAATGTTTTTAGACACTGTCCTGCACTCCAGCAAACCCATGAAATCGTATAATTTTCCTCGCGTTCATCACTATGATCAAGGCTGAATTCCTTTGTGAACTGAGAATTCCTAAACACGCAATACATACAAAATAGAGGCTGTCACCTCTATCTTGATTCTCCAATAGACAAAAACCTACGGATTGTGGACCGAGTGTAGATGATTCTTGTATGCGATTTTTGCGAAATGTTCCCGTTTTGTGCCTAAAAACAAACGACTGAGAAATTGTCGAACACTCTACGATTACAGTGAAGCGTTTGCAAACAAGCTGACAAAGTAGCAGAGACTGTAAAGGCGTTAACTGGACAAAGGATGCCACAGAAGCAACGTTAACAGGTATCGCATGCTGGTCCTCCGCCTTGCTGCTAGGTCACTCTGTCCACTGTACGCGGTATTGTTTTCCTCACTTATACCGCCTCCGCGCCGCGCTCCCTCGTTCCTCTCTGCGTACCTCTTCGACCAGAACGCAGAGGCCGCGTGCTTTTTTGCGCGTCTTCGCGACTTTCACTCTTTCCGCTTTCCTCAACTTTGCGCCGCGCGAATTCGCCACCACACTTTCATGGCTCTGTAAGTTTCTGCCGAATTTTTGCGGTGATCCTATTGAAATGCTCCGATTTTAAAACCCATTCGCGACCGCGCCGGTTTGCGCATTAGCAGGAGAGTCAGGAGATTTTTCTTCAATAAAATTTGAGTGGATGGAGATTCCCCGTGCCCAAGGCTGGCATAGATGAATGAGGGTATGAAGATTCTTTTCAGGGAAGAAAACTTTCCAAATTCCATTTGAAACACGGCAGCCCCGGTGGATAACATTGTACAAGTGAGATCTTTGTCAGCAACCTCGGTGCTGCCATTCTCGTCACGAATGGAGGTTGATCGTCCCAATTGATGCTCTTGACCGCATTTCTCCCATGTGCTTCCTTTGCCAGCTTTGCACAACATCTTAGCAGTGATCGGCAGCCGGCGACAGACGACCCACAATAATCAGCCATAACCTTGAAAAAATTTAAAAATAGGTGCCGTAGTTGCAAGATTGGAATGTGCTGGAGACTCACTTGAATATGATTATCCACTGAGAGTGCTCGACCATCACTGTTGCCCAGCTTGAGTATCAAGCGATCCCGTCGCCATCTTCTCAAAGCCACAGGCAAGAACGACATCAGAGTTGCCTAGAACAAATCGTTTTATTTGGTAAAATATTTAGCGTATACACAGGTGGCCTGACCAAGCTAATATACTGAAGACAGGCAAATGTACTTTGCATAAAGGGAATATCGGACTCCAAGAACTCAAAACGTCGCACGTTCGAGGGTGAGAAGCTCGCTTGTAACGGCTCTGCTAGGCCATTCCTATTCCTATGCCCACCGATTGGTCACCCCAACTGTTGAACCCTTGTCGCCGCTATAGCTGCTTTAGCAGAGGGCCAGAACAGAGCGATCACGTTAATGACGTCAGCATCAATGCGGCTCCTCAGCTCCTCCAAAGCTGTCTTTAACGGCTCGGAAAGGGTCCTGTTCTACGTAAATTATGCTATACGAAGTTATTACGGAAGTTCCTTTGGATTTTCTCCATAGTCCCAACTGGAATCCCTCATAAAGGGCATCTAAAATATGTGTGTAGCTTAAAGTAAGCACGCATTGAAAAGAAAGAAACAGCATCGTTCAGAACAAAAAATTTAAAGGGACTTTCGTCCCCCAACTATTCGGGGAAGCATACCTTACGGCCCCTGTTCTGCGAAATCCTCGAGTCGTTCCCCTTGGTTTTTTCCACTATTGTACCTACTAGCAGCTCCAATTTTATTCTCCACAGGAGATCAATTTCTTCTACCATCTGCCTTTGAAGAGCGCAGGAAAACGTTTCTCAAACAAATGTTCTCGACCTATCGCCACCAAGCAACCTTCTCTGTGTGCTTCAGCTACTCACCACTCTCGATGATTTGCTTACACAAGTAGAGTCCAGAAGAGCCAGAAGCACAGGCATTGTTTATCTGCAATTTCAACTTTTAAAATCAGGAGTATCCCCTTTAGATCAGTATTTAGTAGGCAAAATGTGAAGCGTAATCAGGGAAAATAGTTTAGGGAGGCTTTTTCCTTCCTCTGGACATATTGAAACAGATTTCAAGAAATTGTTGGTGCAACTGCCCCAGTAGGATTTTCACCTTCGGTACGAATGGTGTGGAACGATGCGCTAGCCCTAGTCAAGAGCATAAGACTAAGCAAACTCACCTTGGAAAGCAGCTGGAAAGGAGGCTGACAGCTTCGAAGTGGGCGTGGTTGTGCAGTGTCTTCGGCCGATTATAATCACGCCCACTT